AGTCAGTTAAGCATTTGACTCTTGGACTCTTGGTTTCCGCTCAGGTCATGGTCTCACGGTTTGTGAGTCGGGGCCCTGCATCGTATTCTGCGATGCCAGTGTGGAGCCTGCTTAGGATTCTCTCTTTCCTTCTCTCTCTGCCCCTCCACCCTCAAAATAAATAAATATTTGAAAAAATAAAAAATAAAAAAACTTCATAAATAATATTTGACAAACATGTTATCATAAAGCGATCAAGAACAGTGACATTATTCAAAACATTATTTTGAGGTTTGGAAGGTTGTTTGCCTCTCTTGACATCAAATAGATCATATTTTTCCACACCAATTAATTCTCTGATTCTCTGTCACCAACTATGTGTTCAACAAGTCAGTTCAATTTTGATGTTAACTGTTCAGTGATAACCCAGACCCCACAGATTTAAGGCTCCCTACAGTTCCACAACACTGCCCTGCTTCAGACACTGGCTGCAAATAGGGTGCCCAGGTTACACACATTTTTGCCCAGCCAACTACAAATTCAGGAGTTCCCATGACCCCTGCACTCTCGGGTAAAATAATTTAGGAGAACAACTCACAAAACTCAGGAAAGGACTTTAGTTACGATTACTGGTTTATTATAAAGGATACAACTCAGGAACTACCAGATGGATGAGAGGCATAGGGCAAAGTATGGGGAAGAGGTTTGAAGCTTCCCTGCCCTCTAAAGGCGCGCCACCCTCCTGGCACCTCGATATTTTTGCCAACTCGGAAAATCTCCGAACCATGTTGTTTAGGGCTTTTTATGGAGATTTCATTACATGGGCATGACTGATTAAATCAGTGGCCATTGGTGACTGAACTCTTATATCCAGCCCCTCTCCTGTCCCCAGAGGTCTGGGGGTACGGGTGAAGGTCCCAACAATCTAAGTATGGCTTAGTCCTTCTGGAGACCAGCCCCCCTCTGGAAAGTACCCCGAGGCCCCTCAGCCAAGAGCTCTCTCATTAACATGCCCCAAACACTTTTATCAGCTGGGAGATTCCAAGTGATCTTCTTTTTAAAGGAATTTTTAGAAGCTCTGTGCCAATGAAGGGGATCAGAATAGGACACCCCAAAATATACCACTTTGACATAAGGATGATTTTGAGCTGGTGGCAAATGAGAATCAACTGCTACAGAAAGAAGACTTCTTGGGGCTTATTTTATTTGACCAAAGGCACAAATTTCTGAGAGATGAGGGACTTCTGTAAATCCCCTCCCCAGGGAGCTTAACGGTCACGGGGGAGATGGGAAGTTGGCTCCCAGATGGGACTGCAAACCCATGTTTCTAAGACAATCCTTATCTTTCATTCGTTCCCTGCATATATTTCCTGGTTGCATTCCCACAGCTGACCACCCCTTGCCTAAAACCCTTTATCCTTTGTCTCACTGAACATAAGCGCTTTGAGGAAAAAGGGTTTTTTCCCCCCTCTTCTCCTACCCTAGGAATCAAGGGCAAAGACCAGCCATTTTGTATTATACTACCGGGTTTTGGGTTCAAGTGTACAACCACAGGGAGAACGTAAGGGACACCGAGGGACACAGGGAGAATGGGAACATAAAGGCAGAGATGGGGGGCGGGGTCCCTGGGTGGCTCAGTCGGGTAAGTGTCTGACTTTGGCTCAGGTCGTAAGCCCCTCTCTCTCCCCTCCACTGCTGATGCTCTTTCTTTTCAAAAAAATAAATAGACATTATATATATATTTTTTACATAATCATACTCAGCATATGATTAACCATGATGTCACTGCACAATGGATTTTAGCATCTCAGTTTGTCATTGGGTGAAAGGAGCCATCACTGTTTTAAACCCCTAAGAAACACTGAAAGCATCCTTCAAAACCCTACCTTGGAGAATCTGTTTCCGGGACACCCAGGCTCAGTCGGTTAAGTGTCTCGACTCTGATTTCGCTCAGGCCCCGGACCTGTCCGTTCAAGGTTCACAGAGCCTCAAGATCGGGCTTTGCACCAACAGCATGCAAGCTTGGGAGCTCCTCCTCTCCTCCTTGCTCTCTGCCCCTCCTGCTTGTTTCTCTGTATCTTTTCAAACAAAGAAAGGCTGCTTCTGCGGCTCAGTCCGTTAAGTCCGACTGACCGACTGCCTAGGGATGATCTCGATGGTCCATGGGCTCGGTGCAGCCCCGCCTGCCGGGCTCTGTTTGTGCTGGACAGCTCCTGGAGCCTGAGCCTACTTCAGATGCCCTGTGTTCTCCCTCTCTTCCTGCCCCTCCCTGCTCACACATACACACTCTGGTTCTCTCTCTCTCTAAAATAAATGTTAAAAAATAAAAAGAAAAAAAAAGAAAAAAAGAAAAACTAAAAAAAAAAAAAAGAATCTGCTTCCTGTTGTTAATACTGGTGTCAGGTTAAGGTATACTAGGAGACAGAAATCACATCAAGTGATTTGTAACAGAGATGATTCCATATAACAAATGTTATTTAGGTACAAAGGATTGGTAACTAGGTAACTGAAAGGCAAAAGAGAGCCCTAGGGTATCATGGCAATAGCTGCCTAAGAAGAGCAGCTATTGGGGCTGGGTGGCACAGTCGGTTAAGGTCTGACTTCAGCCAGGGTCAATGATCTCGCGGTCCGTGAGTTCGAGCCCCGCGTCAGGCTCTGGGCGGATGGCTCAGAGCCTGGAGCCTGTTTCCGATTCTGTGTCTCCCTCTCTCTCTGCCCCTCCCCCTGCTCATGCTCTGTCTCTGTCCCAAAAAATAAATAAACGTTGAAAAAAAAAATTTAAAGAAGAGCAGCTATTTACTGCCCCTGGGACAGGAAAGACAAAGGAGAAAGTTTAGAATTATTGAAACTGAAGGGCGCCTGGGTGGCTCGCTTGGTTAAGCACCTATGTCCGCTCAGATCATGATCTCCAGGTTCATGGGATCGAGCCCCACGTCGGGCTCCACACTAACGACACAGAGCCTGCTTGGGATCTTTCTCTCCCTCTCTCTCTCTGCTCCCCGTCTCCCACTCATACACATGTGCTCTCTCTCTCA